AAGAAAACATGGATAGCTGGATAAGATAGATAGTCAAGTAGCTAGATCGAACAATACATAGGCAAACATATAAATAGATACATAGATAGATAGATGGATGGATACACAAATTGCTTCCTTGCTTCCTTGCTTCCTTTCTTCCTTCCTGCCTGCCTGCCTGCCTGCCTGCCTGCCTACCTACCTATCTTATCAAAATCTCTCTCTCTCTCTCTCTCTCTCTCTCTCTCTCTCTCTCTCTCTCTCTCTCTCTCCATCCCCTTGGTTATTTTCATTTGTTCCTGTATCGACCTGGTTTATCCTTCTATCCATCCATTCATCTATCCATCTAATCATCTAGTTGACTATCTGTTTATCCATTTGTGCAAATGAAGTTGCAACTTGACTCGGGGGGGGTCACGCATACGCATGAAGCCTCCTTTGCGTTTTCATCGTGCGTTTCTTTAGGCTCAGGCTCGGCCCCTTTCGGTCATTGCCAAACCTAGTTCACCGCTTTTGCCTTTTTGTCTTGGTGGTTTTCCCATCATTTTCCATCATTTTCCACAGTTCAGCTTTTGCACAGGATTGAGAGATGTTTATGTGGGAGGTTCCAAGTCTCATTTTGGGTACGCAGAACTACGGCCACCGGGAAGCCTAAATTCGTCGCAAGTTGGCTTCCAGTCAGTTCCTCTGCAAGGGATGCGTCCTCTATTGCTTGTCAGGTTCATCTCTCATGCATCTTTTTAAATGAGAAGCACCTCCCCCCAAACGCTGCCGCCTTGTCCACCCGTTTTAGCCACGGCTTGGACTTCCCGAAAACTCCCCGCGAAAACCGAACCATGCTCGGTGGCTGGTTTCAGGCCAAAGCCGCCGCAGGCCCCCCGACTGTGTTGGGGATCGGGAAAGCAGCGTCTGTGCGGCGCAGCGTCTTTTTCTTTTTGCGGGGGGGGGGGGGAAGAAGGAGAAGGCCTTGATTTTAAAGCTTTTTGTTTTTCTTGGGAGGGGAAGGAGCAGGCCTTGTTTTTAAAGGAACCAGCTGACAAGGATGGGAAAGGAGGGATCAACTGATGGATTCACTGGTGAATGACAAGATATGGATGAAATGGGGTGGATCCACTGAGCTTGTTTTCCGTGGAATTCAAGATACGGATTCCACTGGTGAATGAGAACCACACCCCTTTTCAGCCAAGAAACACGATGGGCGGAATTCGCTTCATGTTTGAAGGTACCTTGCTTGTTGGGAGGGGGTGGGCCCGAAAGGAAAGCCAGGGACCCCACTCTGTGCCGCTCTTTTGATACCGTGCGCGTACGACAGGAGTCAAAGATAAAGCAAAAAGGGCATCATGAAGGTTCCTCGCGGTGGGTATTGAGGATATTTTATTATCCTGGTGGTTCCGCCCTCCGGTTCCTTAGGCTTGGATGCCGCCCTCCGGTTCCTTAGGCTTGGATGCCGCCCTCCGGTTCCTTAGGCTTGGATGTTGGTTGGTTTAGACCACGACACTTTAGATGCAGATCTGGGAACAGCCTGGTGGTGATGTGCCCAGAAATGCATGCCGTTCTGGCCGTGGCCGGTATCCCAAGTGGTTTATAGGTCCAAAACTACGGTGGGTGGACAAGATCCTGCACCACTTTGAAACCATGGGCAACCCCTGCTTGATGGTGTTTACAGGGGAATCATCATCATTCTAGGGGTGGGGGTGACTTCCGTGCTCGGAGGTTTGCCGCAACCTCGCCCTCCTAGCCAGTTTTTACCCTTCTCCATTTTCAGGGCTCCTCTCCCAAGACATATATATATACATTTATATTATACATATATGTACATATATATATATATATATATGTGTCTGCTGTTTTTACCGGCGCCTTTGTTTGTGTGGTTAGAGCTCCTCAGCTCAGCGCAGGCAGGAGCAAAGGCAAAGCACCTTTGCAGGACTGGGAGTTCCACTTGCCTTGGTAGCTTCTTTCCGCGCACAAAACCAAGAAGCTCCATTTCCAAGCTTGCGACACTTTTTTCTGGTGTTGCACAAACTGTATCCCGTGGTCAATACGTGCGGCTTCCCAATGCTTGGGGTACTACAGTAAAGATGCATTTAGACTGCAAGGACTCTGGTGACTCTGGGCCCTCCCCAGAAATACATGTCATTTTTAGGGAAATTGCGGCAAAAGGCTTGGGGAATGGTCCCAACCCAACTGAATAAGCGAGGACCCCCGATGATCCCTGGTGTTTGTTTTTGTGCTTTGATGAGCATTTTAAACAGCTTGCGGCTCCTTGTGAGCCGTCCGGAAGTATGACCAGACCTCCTTTGCGTCGTAAGAATGGTGAACAGTTACCGATCTTCCAGGGTGGATTGTGAACCAGCTTGGCCGAAAAAGGGGTGAGGTTTGGGTCGGCAGTTCACTTTGTTTCCGTAGTTTGGAAGTCAGGTTGCACCGGCATCCACCGAACTCCGGGAACTGCTTTTGCTCCAAACCTTCAAGCCCCCTTTTGGTTGCAAGACCTCCCCAAGTTCCAAGAACCCAAAAAGAGCCTTTCGGGCCTCCTGAGCCGGATTCCAGGCGTGGGTTTCAGTTTCAGTTGGCCCTTTACGAAGCTTGCCTGGGGGAAAAAGCACATGCATCCCGAGAGAGTCAGCTGGGGGTGGGGGGCCGGGACTGCGACAAAGGAGCCGAATCCCAGATTCTTGGATTCAACTGGCGAGAGTGAGGTTCCCCTGTACGGAACACCCCCTTTTCGGAGTTGGTTCAGCGAGAATCTGGAGGGAACCACCGACTGAAAGACCGCTTGGGCGGTTCATCTAAGCGGGTCCGTCTTTTCTTGGAGCTACCAACGTTTCGTGGTTTTACAGGGACGCCAAGAGGAACAAAACACTCATTTTTTGGGGGTCCCCGATTTCTGAAGCAAAAATGACAACCCAAGTGGCTGTGGGTCAACATTGAACCACCAGGACACCGCAGGTTTTAGTCCATGTTTCCTTTTGCGAGAGCAGGCCATTTTGGGTACCAATTGTTGACCCACAGCCAAGTGGCAACCGGAGGAGAAGCCAAAGGCCTCTTGGGCCAAGCAGAACCCCCAGCTCCCGATCCAGGAGAAGCGGCATGAGGCGCCAATATTGACGTTCTTCTTTCCTTGTTGTTCGTTTCTATGTTTGTAATCTATGCATGGTATGATATGATATGATATGATATGACCATGTAATGCAATGCAATGTAATGCAATGCAATGTAATGTAATGTAATGGAATGTAATGTGTCAGCCCGGGAAGTGGCAGCAACTGCTTTTGCCTGCCAGTGGGGGAAGGTGTCAGGGTAGTGCGCATCAACTTGCGTTGACAGTGGGGAAACGCTTCATGTGTGAGGAAGACTTTGGTTCTTCGTGGGTGGGGAGCTGCCTATGTGCGCCGAATGCGGAGAGTTTGTTGGCAACTTGTGTTTGCCAGAAAGGCTTCGTGGTGGGAGAAGAGAGGTGGCGTTGGCAATGGGGGAAGGGTTCGCCGGCTCTCTCTTAAGAGCTTCCGACCTTGGCGTGTCATGTGGCCGCTAGTTGTGTGTTGTCTAAAAGAGACCATGTCTGGCTTGCAAGCTGCCCCGAGCCTAGAAGGTTCGTGGGCCGGAGCTGGTCTGGCGAGCCAAGTGATGTCGTCTGCATCTCGCGGGACGGGTCGATTCGATTTCGGACCAGTGTGCCGGTGTCCTCAGCCAGCTCGACGACTTGATGACAGACCTACGCCGAAGGAAGCGAATGGAGATCCTGGTTTTTGGCTCGGTACTTTGCGCAGACAGAGCTGAAGCCGCGGGCGACCAAGCCGGATTCACTTTATGCATGCTTTTTACCGAGCGGTGACAGGGCCAAAATTGCTCTTGTCCAAGCAAGGCAGGGAGAAGCGGGGCAATCCCAGTTGAGGTTTCGAAGTGATCTGTAAAGGGTGCGCCGCCATGAACGTTTTATTGGGATTAACGTGTTGAAAGCCCTCGCAAACATGTGCACGAAGTGCTTCCCTGGTTCGCAAACTCATAGGCGATGCGCATGTTGAGGTGACGAAAGCGTCATTGGCTAATACTTTTGTGACACATATTGCGACGTTACAGCGGCCGAAGTTGAGGTGACTTTCTGGGGGGTCTTGATGTGCAGCAGTCCACGGGAGCACGAATCCTGGCCGGAAGTTGAGGCAACTTCCTGTCCCAACAGTAATGTAATGCAATGTAATGCAATGGAATGTAAGAAAATGCAATGTAACAATGCAATGTAATGCAATGTACTGTAGTGTGGTGTAGTGTAATGTAGAGTGTCCCAGCTTTGCAAGAGGCTCCGTCAACCCCATGGACTCCTCCACTTGGAGTTCAAGCCTCAGGCTCAGCCCAAGTAAGTGCGGCCCAGAGAAAGTGCTGCTGCCGAGCCAGGCCCTGGTACTAGTCTGAGGCAATAGAGGGCTCACAGGTAGTGTGGGCTGCACGAGGATCCAATGCAGCAGAATGCCACACGCAGCTTGGACGCAGGCAAGCGTAATGTAATGGAATCTGATGCAATGCAATGTAACGTATTGTAATGTAATGTAACGAAATGTATGTAGTGTAACTCAGCGCAATGTCATGGAATGCAATGTAGCGTAATGTAGCGTAATGCAATGTAATCTAATGCGGTGTGATGTGTTGTAACGTGCTGTAATGTGCTGTAGTGGAATGCAATGCGATGCAATGGAATGTAATGGAATGTACTGCATGTGTGTATGTTTGATTGCTGGTTGGTTTGGTTTGGTTTGGTTTGGCTTGGCTTGGCTTGGCTTGGCCTGGCCTGGCTGGCTGGCTGTTTGTTTGTTTGTTTGTTTGTTTGTTTGTTTATTTGAGGGTATCTGTTTCCTTTTCAGGGTACCTTTTTTGGATTTGTTGCAACGGACAAGCAGAAAGGGAACATGTTTTTTTCTTTTTGCATTTTTTTCCGGGCGGGGGGCGGGGGGAGGTGATGCCTTTACTTCAAGATGTTAGGCTTAGAAGCAGGATCTCCGCAGCAGCATTGCCTCTTTTTTTTGATGAGTGTGGGGCGGGTTCGGCTCGCAGTGATCAAGCAAACTCAGAGCGGGGCAACCGATACTTGGAAGTGGTACCCTTTGCGTATTTAGCCTGAAAGACAAATGCACGTAAACACCAAAGGTTGTTTGTGGGTGTTATGTGGTAATCCGTCATTTTTGGGTGCAACAGACGGGAAACACGTTGAGTTCACCATCCAAAACGACGGCCCTTTCTCAGTCAACCCATTTGAGTCGGCAAACCAAACCTGTCAAGGGCATCTTTGGACAGATCTCCGTATTTGATTGAGACCCGTGCCCTATCTAGTCAGCTTTTGGAAGTTGCTTCGCGGAAACTGTGGGGCCCGTGTTTTGGGAACGAAAGGTGCTCCTTGTGCTTGATGGATGACTTGTTTAGACGAGTTTTGCGTCCCCAATTTTGGCCGGGACAAGGTTAGACAAGCTCAGAAAAAAATACCCGCCCTCCCTGAAAAACAACAATCGTGTCTAGATCGGGAACTCCCCCAAAAAGGCAGTTCCCTTTGACTTCCATTTTGAAACCACCCCCGCAAGGGAATCGAGTCTCAAAAACTCAAAAACCATGCATGCTCTTTCCCTGCTAATTCTCTGTTAACCCCCAAGAGGATACCAATTCAAAGACAACACCCGCACAAGACAAGGAGCGCCTCAGGTGGTGCCGGTGCTGTGTGGGGAGTCCCCGGTGGTGTGCCTGCTGGGGGAGACGGGCAGCGGCAAGAGCACCCAGGTGGGACCCAAGAAGCCGTCGGAATCAACCCATGGCAGGTGGCCAGGTTGCCCTTCGTAGGTTTGGAGTTGAGTTGAACTGGTTTGAGCTAAGGAATATGGCCCTTTTCAAGCGCGTGCGTGTTTTCAAGACCAAAAGGAGGACCAACTCCAAGTCTCTGTTTGGGGCGTGTCCCGCAAAAGAGACTCACCCATTTACATGGCGTCTATCACTGTTGGACATATGTTTCATTTTGTTTCCACGAGACTCAAGCGAGTGGGCATACTCAATTGCTTCGATGGTGCGTTTGGGGGGGGGGATAATTTGAATGGTTAGATTTCCCAGGCCATCTGACAACTGGCAGTGTATTGTTAGTTTGCTTAGACTGGTGCAAAACGGGTTTCAGAAACGGTTGCATCCCCGACTTTCTTTTTCGCCAGACTAAGCGTGGCCTTGGCCATTTGTAGTTGTATATCCTTTTGGTGGACGATGTTTAATGGGGACATTTGAAGACCCCTGAATGGACAGGAAAGCCAACCTGAAAGCTAACTTGGAGGGGTGAGCGGCAAGTCGGGCAAATGCTCCAGCCATGAATCAATCTCTTGGGACACCTGAAGCAGTTGACGTTTTAAAAAGCCATGTAGCCAAGGCTCCGTCAATGGGGTGAAAGTATGGCCTACAGAATGCCAGCACTTGCACAGATCCTGCGGATGCAAGCCCTGTGCAGGAAGCGCATCTCTGCCATGTCAAAACCAATCAGCTCTGGTTTCAGGCCACTGCCTCGGTTTGCTCCGAGCTTGTCCAAACCAGGATAGAACATTGGTTTCATGATTTCCTTTGACCCCCTGAGGTGGCAAGCTCTCCCCACTTTTTGGGTGAAGGGTGTCCTCATCGATTTTTCTCAATGCCCGAAAAGTTTGAGAACTTCTCGGGCCAGTCAACTCAGCTGGGCCAAATTCGCCCCCGTTCGCGGATCGTTCGTGGATCGTGCGGGGATTGGAGGGCTTTGACACATCTGCGAGCAACTGACCATACCCGATCTTCTCGTGATCTTTTGGGGAAGCAAGCCATGTGTCCGTTGCCCAAATGGTTGTGTGCTTTTTTCGGGCTGCCCCTTTCAAGCTGGTTGAAAGCGGTTTCCCAACGGGACACCCGACATCCATGTTTTTTCTTCTCCCCTTTTGTCCGGCGGCAGGTGCCCCAGATGATTCTCCAAGAGGCGGGGCAGGGCCAGTTGAGCGCACCCAAAGTCTGCCCCCCCCCCCCCCCCAGGCGATGCTAGTCGTTCTACTGACGAGTTTGCTGGGTTTGGCCTGAGCAGCGCGAATCTTTTTTTTTGGGGAGCCTGGGCCAAGTCTGGGCCAGATCCATTTTCTGGTCATTGTTTTCGCCGCTTGCGGGGTTTCACGAGAACACCCGGGAGGTCCCTTGAGTGAAACTGGGAAAGAGACCGCGGTTTGGGTGGTGTTTTACAGGGAAACCAAGCTGAGAAACTATTTGATAGAGCCAAGACCTTTAGTTGTTTGTCTATTCTTGAAAGGAGACAGGCTTCTACAGAAAGCAACCATTCTGTGGTTTCCTTTGTTTTAGTTCCCATTCTTGCAAAGGAGCCAATCTTGGTTCACCTGCGTCCCAACCTGGTCAAGAGGGTCGGAACAGCCCAGTTTGGAGAGCCCCCTGCTTAAACATCAAGTTAGACCATTTTTGTGAACAATCTCTTTTCGGGTCCTGCATGTTCCGAGAAGCCAATTTTGTTCAGTAACTCTGGTGAACTTAACCAACCCAAGCCCCAAAGAAAGGTCAACCCCAAAAGAAAGGTCAAACAGTGAGGGGCTTGAACTTACCCACCCCCCCTCCTTTTCAAAGACAGGTTTCCAGCCCCAAACCGGGGCCGAACCCCGCCCCAGGCGCGCAAGGAAAGGCGCCGTGCGCGGATCTGCGTGACGCAGCCGCGGCGCGTGGCGGCGCTGAACTTGGCGACCCGGGTGGCCTCGGAGCTAGGCCCAGCTGCCGCCCAGTGGTTTTTTTTGTCCCATTTGGGTGTGGCTCAAAATTCAAGAGCTACGGTTACGCAGGTTTTAGTCTTGGTTCCATTTACCAAGGTGCCATTTTGGCACCACTTTCTTGAGCCACAGCCATTTTTGTGTCGCAAGTCTGGTGGAAACCATCTTACGGAGTTGTTCTTTTCTTGAATTTGTTTCTTTCTTCGGGGGCTTTCTTCGGTTCCCTTTGTTTCTTTGCGGGTTTGGTGGAAACCAGTTGGTGGAACTTTTTTTCGGGTGTCCATTTGTCGCAAACACACCCACAGGCCTTTGCTTGGTCCAGGTGAGCGCAGCACCGTGGGCTACCGGATCGGTGGAGCCTCGACGCAAGTGCTTCCGCAAGTGCTTCCGCTTTAGGCGCCCAGTTGCCTTGCTTGCGCCCGCCTGCTTCCCCATGGGTGTTTCTCAAAGCACCGTGGATGCGCGCAATCCGCACCAGTTGATGGGTGGTCTGTCCCACTGTTAATTCATAGGGCTTCATCCGGGTGTCAATCAATTTTGTGCGTCTTTGTTCGGTGGCCCGGGCACCAAAAGGAAAGCAAAAAAAGAAACAAACACCCCCAAATACTGTCTGTGCGCACCGGTTGATACGTGGTTTGTCCCAGGTTAGGGTTGTATCCTTTCCAATCCATCCACAGGAATCGGTCCTCGAAATGGCAAAGGTTTTGGTTTCCCTGAAAAATACCAGCCCAGGCGTGCTTTTGTACGCTGTTGCGTGCTTTTGCACGCTTTTGTGTTCTTTTGCTTGCTTTTGCTTGCTTGAGGTTTTCGGTGTGTTTTGTAAGCTTGCTCGTTTTCCTGTTTGCTTGCTTGCTTGTTTGCTTGCTTGCCTGCCTGCTTGCTTGTTGCTTGCTTGCTTGCTTGCTTGCTTGCTTGCTTGCCTGCCTGCCTGCCTGCCTGCCTGCCTGCCTGCTTGCTTGCTTGCTTGCTTGCTTGCTTGCTTGCTTGCTTGCTTGCTTGCTTCTGTTTATTGCTTTGCGTGCTAGATTGCTTGCTAGGCTTGCTTGCTTTCTTGGTTGCATGTGCGTGGCCTTACCTGCAGCTGATTGATGCAGCTAGACGTCGCGTGAAACCGGAACGCATTAAGAGGTTGAGCAGCCAACACGCCCAGCTAGCATGTGAGCAGTGTGCTGTTTTGCACGCGGACCGAAGCAAAATACAGTCAGCAAGAACTTTGCGTGATAGGGCTCCAGGTAGGTGAACTGTCTCGAATATCACGCAGCCCCAAGAGAGCGCAGCATCAGGCGGAGGAGGTGTCAGTCACGTCATCCAAGCTACATCCTCATGGTATGAGCAAAGGCCCTGGTCGCAAATTCATGTGTCTCCGTGCTTCGTGGCCACCCGTCCAGACTCTTCTCTAACTCGCCAAGGCGAGAGTCGCCCGGGGGAGCACATCGACTACTGCACTGTGGGCTACACTCTGCAGCTGTTCCTGAACGCCCCGCAGGCCTGAAAAATTCCATGTCCGCCTGTCCTCCCCCCAATTCTTCCATGGGTGCTTGTCGTTTTTTTCGGGTTGCTGCAAAGGGAAGTCCGCAGAAAAAAAGTCGCCTCTTTTTGGGTTCCCCTATTTTGAGACACGGCCCCCCCCCCAATGAAAAAAAGGGTGTTTCTTGAACAATTTAGGGACCCCCGGTGATTGATGTCCTTCTTGCCATCCAAAGGCCATCCATTCTTCCCCAGACCATCCAAAAAAAAGGGCCCCTGTGTGAGAAACACCCATTTGGAACCAGAAGAAAACCATAGGAAAGTTATGCCCATTCGTGCTCAGCCCCAAGACTGTTTGTTTGGAGCTGCAGAACTTGCCTTTCAAAGAGGGCCCCTTTTGAGACAATACCCACATTGGAACCCAAGCCTGATCTCTCCGTCCCTCTTTCTTTGGGACCATGTTTTAGGGAAACCAAAGGAAACCAACCACTCTGGGGAAGGAGAGATTCCCCAAATTTGAGAGACACAAGAAGGCCAAAAGACTCCAGGAGCTTGGGGAGTACACCCACATCGTCTTGGATGAGGTGCACGAGCGGAGTGCCTGGCTCAGAGGGATCCGTCCCGGAGCCCTGGACAGAAGAGACTTCGGGGAGAAATATGTGCACGAACCACTTTGTGAGGTTCCAAGTGTCAAAGTCCACTTTTGAGGTGGTTCCAAGTCTCAAGATTCATGCCTCTTTTCGAGCGTCTTGATCCCTCCAGTGTTTTTTTTGCCCCCTCTTTTTTTCCCCTTTTTATTCTTTCTGTTTTTCTTCCGGCATGTTTTTAATCTTTTGCTTTTGGAGGGGGCCAACTTGTCCTGCGTCAATTAAAAGGCCTTGTGATGGAACAGGCTTTTGAAGACATGCAGCACACCGACAAACCATCTTTGGAGGATGAGACGAAGCCATTTTTCCCACATAAGATCGATTCCACTACCCCAAACCACTACCTCCAAGGGACACTACCCCAAACCACTACCTCCAAGGGACACTACCGCAAACCACTACCTCCCAGGGAAATTGGGATATTTGCTCGTCGAATGACCCGTTTCCTGAACCCAATGGACCAGGCTTGGACCTAGACCGTCGCACCTTGCTCCAAATGTCGCCATTGGGTGTGACGGCTTCAGAGAAAGCCTTACACTGAGCCAATACTGCGGCATTCGAACCTTTTTGTTTGGCTTCAAGAAGTTTGGTTCTTGAAGCCCAAGCTTCGGCCGGGGCTAAATGGAGGAACCCGACCCCCTACCATTCTTTTCCCCGTGCGTCATGCGTGAGCCGTGCCCAAATCTTTGGATCAGCAAAGTGCAGAAGGCTGATCAAACCGGCCACGCACCAACCCGGCAGTTGGGTTTGGCCGGTCTCGAGGCGCCGAGAGCGACATGCTTTGCTTGGTGGTGCGGCTTCTGGCGCACTACCGCTTCCCGGGCACCCGCATCGTGGTGATGCCGGGGCCCCGCCGTTTTTTTTGTTTTGTTTTTTTGGTCGGCTTGGTTGGGTAAGGCTTGGGCCGGGGGGGGGGGGCGTGGAGGGCAAGAGGAGTTTCTTGGTTGTGGTTTTGGATCTTGCGAGATTGAGGCGCATGTGAGCAACTGAAGTGATTCGGGGGGGGTGGGAAAGCTGGCTTCATCCCTCCCGAGACTGTGCACTTTGTTCCTCATGTTTGGGTTCAAAAAAGGCCGCCTGGGCGCGCTAAGACGATGGCTGGGTGCTTGACACGCCCTTGGCTGTGACCCCGCTCCAGGAACATACTTCCAAGCATAGAATGCATGGTGCATCATGTTCAAGCATGTTCAGAATGGAGCAGTCAAACATCTGGTCTCAACACGCTGGAAGTTGAGCGCTCACTTCCACATTTGGCGATCAGTCTCGGTGTTTCAGCTGGCAACCTTGGTGTGCTTCGGGGTTCGGGTTTTAGGTGTGCACTGTCGAGCTCTGGACCACCAGAGGTGGGCAGAGTCCCCTCACTCAAACTGTTGAAAGGGGGACTTGCAAGCGTCGCCTCTTGTCGCGCGTTTCCTCGCGTCGCGGAAGAAAAATCAGACTCTGCGCAATTGATGATTGTTGGACAGGAGTTCGAGCTCTACCCTCCCCATTCTCTTCAGGGATCCTTCTCTTCCAACAACGGGCCAAACCCTGGAAAATAGGTGGTGTCTAAAGAGAACCATGGGTGAAGAGAATGGGGAATCAAGCCCTAGAACACTTCGCGTTCGAAACACGTGTTTGGAAGCACCACTCCTGTCTGATCACCTGGCAGTCTGGACAGACGTCCTGGGTTTCAAGTGGGTATTTGGTCAAAATTAAACCACCAGGGGACCGCAGGTTTTAGTCGTTTTTTCCATTTACCAGGGTTCCATTTTGGCTACCCATTTTTGACCCAGAGCCAAGTGGTGCAGGATTGTGTCAATCCACAGTAATTTTTCCCTGTGCCGAATGTATTCTTCTGACGACGCTTTCCATGTCTCGACATTGCTTTTTCCGAATTTCTCTCCACGTTTGATTCCCAGTGGTTTCCTTTGTGCTTGGTCCGTTTTGCTCGTGTGTCTTTCTCCTGCAAGAAGTACGGATGGATTCTGAACATGGTGTCTATGTTTGGGTGCGTCTTTTGTGTTGAGGGTATCCCTGTTGGATTTGTTTCAAGGCACCACGATACACACTTACACAACAAATCGCGGAAACAGTACAACTGGTGCAAGATTGTGTCCATCCACGCTTTCAACTGTTAGTGGGACATATCTTTTTAGTGGTTTCCCCCCAATGGTCATCCCCTGTAAAGGACCTTTTGATCACATCCACGGCTTCAGCTGCTTCAGCTGTTGGGGATATTTGGACATGGGTCAAAACCCCGTACCCCCAGTGAACATCCGTGAACATCCCAACCCCCAACTAAAATAGGTTCTAAAATGGGTGGTGCACCCAAAATGGGATCCCATTGGTTTTGAGCCACAGCCATGTGGCAGATCCCATCCCTCCGAGCTTTCGGTTCTTTTTCTTCGGCAACGAGCTCTGAGCGAGGTCCGCCACGCTGCAGAGCGACCTCTTCTCCAAGTACTTTGGGCGCATCTCCCGCTTGCCGGTGGGGAACGTCTTCGTGGGGGCGCGCTGCTTCCCGGTGAAGGAGTACTTCCTTGAGGAGGGGTGGAATTTGAGGGGTGAAACGGCTGGGACCCGTGCGCCTTGCGTCGTGTTTGAGGGGCCAACTTCAAGTGGTCACAGTTTGAGGGGTTCTCAAGTGGGTGACAAGGAAACCCCTTCACCAGCATTTAAGTAATCTTGAGGGGAGCGGGTGACCGGGTAGGGTTCCGGCGGCTTGATTGAAGCGGTTGCTGGGTTTCGATAGCTTCGGAGTGGTGGATTTCTCCCGAAGGGTTCCGGTGGCTGTTGATACTAGGGCGTATGGCCCACAACAAAGGGTGCCTCGCTTTTCCCCTGTTTCTTTCTCTCTTTTTTTTTTGGGGGGGGGGAGGGGAGGGAGGGTTTTCTTTTTTTTTTGGGGGGGAGGGAAAAAACCCGGTAGGGCGGCGGTGATTTCATTTTTCCGCGTCCGCCAGGATCTGCCGAAGGCTCTGAACCGCAAGCTCCGCTGCGAACAGGCCATCTTCGGCCGCATCAAGGCGCGAGACTACAGGCGCCAATAGCCAGGCGGCTTCCTTGGATTTCCTTTTGAGCTTGGTTTTCTTTGGTTTCTTTTGGTTTCCCTCGGTTTGCTTCGGTTTCCTTTGGTTTGCTTGGTGTCCTTTGGTTTCCTTTGGTTTTTATGGGTTTCCAGTAGTGGGACCCAGTGGTTTCCTGTGGGGTCCTTCGGTATCCTTCGGTTTCCTTCGGTTTCATTTGGTTTCCTTTGGTTTCCTTCGGTTTGCTTCGGTTTCGTTTGGTTTTCTTTGGTTTTCCTTTGGTTTCCTTTGGGTTTTATGGGTTTCCAGTAGTGGGACCCAGTGGTTTTCTGTGGGGTCCTTCGGTATCCTTCGGTTTCCTTCGGTTTCGTTTGGTTTCGTTTGGTTTGCTTCGGTTTTCCTGTGGTTGCCTTGGTCGCATGCTTTTTCCAAAATTCCTTTTTGGACAATGGTTTCCTTTTAGTATCCATTTAATCTTGAGGATTTTGCCTTGGATTGCCATTTGCCAGTTTACCAGGGTGCTGCTCCTCGCAGGCGTCCCCAAGCACTCCCTCAGCCTCTTGAAATTTCAAAGTTCTCCACTTGAGGGGCAGGGTACTTACTAAGTGGTTTCTAAGCCACTTACCATGGCGGGGGAGCTTAAGGGAGCCCATAGGGCCTTTAGGGGCTTTTGAAGCTTGTAATTCCTGAAAGGTTTCCAACTGCCCCCCCCCTCCCTTGCACCACCACCACGTAAGAACTCCATAGTTGGTTGCATTTTGAGGGGTTCTCATTGCTTTCTTTGGGGGGGCGGGTTCTTCATAATATACATTTCAGAGGGTGGTCATTTTTCTGTTCCTCGGAGCCACCCGAGGTGCTTTGCCAGACTTCCACTTGGGATGGATGAAGCCCAACAAAAAAGCGAGATCCTCACCTGGTAACTGATGCAGGATCTTTTTCCCATCCACAGGGAGCCCTTCTTCAGGGGTCATATAAAAGTTTTCGTCGTTTGATTCGGGAACGTCTAAACGTGTTTTGTGGCGGTTTCCCTTTGAATGGCCAATTTTCGGAACTCCCGGAAGGTTTTTGTGCCAAACTCCATCCCTATTGCCTCTCTTTGTCCGGTGGCCCGCGCCTCGTTCAGTTGATCGCTGGCTACTGGGTGTTCAAGCGGCTCCATAGGTTCCCCGAGACATGTGGATTGGCGAAATCCAGAAGTCGCACCGCCAAACCATTGTTTGTTGGTATTTACAGGGGAAGATCCAATCATTCCAGGGTTTCTTAGGTGGTGCAGGATTTGCGTCCATCCAGGGTACTTCCCCTTAAACATGGGTTCCAACTGCTTGAGGCATTGATGAGAGTAGCTCTTCGCAAAGTTGATTTACGTGTGCCTTGGTCAAAAACACGTCACTTGCTAACGTGCATGTCCATGCAGGCTATTTGGTGCTTTTCGGCTGACACTGCTCTGGTTGTTGGTAGGGTTGGGATTGCCATGGACCCTCGAGTGCTATGAATCAAGGATTCTGCTTGTAGGGGATGTGCCTTTAGTGGGCCCAGCCCTGGGAAAATCCACAAGAGAACGAATGGGAAAGAGCTTGATGAATCCACAGCACGCGTATCCAAGACGTCCTCTCTCGAAAAAAAAAAGAAGACAAAAGAGAAAGGAAACAAAAGGGCCGATTTCCAAAAACAAAACTGCAAGTTCGCCAACGTGAGCCGCAACATTTCGGCCAGCATTCTCTTTTTTTTGGGGGGAAGGTCGAGAAGTCAAAAGGATGGCATATGACAAGGGTGTCATTTCAGACCTTGCAGGGCTCAAAGGTTCCGAGAGAGTGTGAGGGACACCCACCCTCCAGCCACCAGAGATGGGGTGGGTACACAACCACTATACCACTACCCCACCAGGTGGGTGGGTCTAAAATCAGGGTCTTCCTCTTGAGGAGGTCTGGGCACGGTGGTTTTGGGGGATGGAACTTGGATGCGCAGGATGCGTTCGGGGAGGTGCGGGTCAAGAAGATCGACCAGAAGCACTGTGACTTTGCAAAGTAAAGCGGAGTGGGGCATTAAAAAAAAAAGGAAAAACCGTTTTATTATTATTATTATTACTATTATTATTATTATTATTATTATTATTATTATTATTATTATTATTATTATTATTTTCAGAAAAACAATAAACACATTATATATATATAGATATAATTAAAAAAAAAAAAAAAAAAAAAAAAAAACATAAAGAAAATGAGACACCCGCCGGAAACCAACCGCCACCAGCAATACCCATGTGGGTCTGAATTTCAACGGGCTTCTTGGCGGCACTTCGAGACAGTTTTTTGACGTTGCGGCTCATTTCTTCCACCGAAGAGCACGTTCTTCTGGTGGTATTTTCTCCGAGGGCGCGGATTTGGGGGGATGGATTTGAAAGGGCCACCTGGAAGCCGGAAGCCAGAGTTGGAACCCCTGAAAAGTGCATGGTGGACCCCCCAGAAAATTGTTCAAACGATGTCAAGAGGGTACCCCCTCATTGGGTTTGTCTCACTTAGCCAACCAAAAGTTCACCAAACACACAGGCCCCCCCCCCCCCCCGCCTTCTTCACCAAACCGACAATATACTTGCAGACATGCTTCCCTTGTGAAGACTTCATCTGGTTTCACCAGTCTTTGCAACTAACTCATTCGGGAGTGCAGTGGCCCCTCCTTTTCATCCTCAACAAATTCGCTCAGCGCCCTACGCTTGCCCGCGCCCCCACGCCCGTGCGGCACAACGAGGTTCGAGCCCCGACCCGCCTGGCTGCCCCACGAAACCCGAACCCCCCCCAACCTAAAGAGTCGTCGCCCCCGCAGAAACCCGAACCTCTCGCAACCTAAAGAGTCAGTGGTGTTAGTACCTAAAACCTCTCAGCCTAAGCTTTAAGTAGTAGGATGCAGTCCAAGTGACTCACTCAAAGTGGCAGTGTGGAACGCTGCAGATGAGGATGCCACCTGAGCCTTGTCGTTGTCGTCCACAAAGGACTTGACCCACACCCAAGCCGGAACAGGGGGGTAGCTCGAGCACAGAACATCTACGGTGAGGGTGAGATGTGATGTTGCGAAAAATAGCATTTCTCTCGCAGCTTCAGACCAAAGGGGTATGAAAAGCTGACAAAAACGGGGTATGAACAGCTTTGCGGGTTGTGGGCGAACGTGGGGTGCTAGGAAAACCTGCAAGTGTTCCCAAGTTGTTCGCAACTTTTCCGGGCTTCCCAGTTTTTCCCATGGGTTTCCTGCGGTTTCCTGTGGGTTTCCTGTGGGTTTCCTGCAGGTGTTAAGGTTCCGCCCGTCCGCCGCCCCTTCTCGCCCCCGGGCTTGAGGCGACAAGCTCCACAGCATCGTGCTGGAGCTGTTGGAGGTGATTGCACAGCCGGCCCGGCGCCCAATGGGAGGGCCAGGTGAGGGCGATGGCGGAAAAGTGGGCGAGGAGGGGTTTTGAGGGAGTCTTTTTTTCTCTGGAGGTTTTGGGGGCGGGCATAGCGAGGGGAGTTGGCTTTTATTCTTTTCTCTTTGGGGGGGCCTCGTGGCTTGAGAGGATGACGCAGAGGTTCGTCCAAACATCCGACTGCTCGGCATGGGGGCTCGGCCATTTCAAAGGTGATGAGCCCGATTTGGTTCATGCCGGTAAAGCAGGTACAGGCAGATATGTTGGAAGCCATGGGCATGACATCTTTTGGGGAATCGGCGCATTTTGGTGCTTGCCGAGGTCAGATTGGGGGAGAACTTGGGATTACTCGGTGATCGGGAATGAACATGCTAAGGGCTTTGCAACACGAAAACCTAACGCGTATGTGCATGCACGTGCAAGCATACAATATCGCACAACATAACAGACACAAATGCAACACGCCATACCACATCATGATATTAATGCGCGATATGACATGCATATGACGAGAATCGTATCTTATCTGATCTGATCTGATCTTGATGTTCGATGTGATGCTATACTCAGGGCCTCATGACCATTGTGCTCCCGGTTGAAATCTTCTGACCGCCTCCTTCTGACTTCTGAAGCCAGCCCTTTGCCGAGGACAGCACCATCCTGGTTTTTCTTCCTGGCATTGCTGAAATTTCCTCCCTCTGGCAGGCACGAACTGGTTTTCGCTCCCATCGGCCGGGAACCGATCCGAGTGGATTGCCTAGAAAGGGAAGAAGTTGGCAACCCCACCAACTTAGCAAGGCTTCTTTGGTACCATTTTGGGGTAGGTGTTCCACCCATTTTAGGCCATTTTTAGTGGGGATTGGGATGTTCGCTGGTACGATTTGGGTTTTGACCCACGATGTTGCTTGGCAACGTGCAGTTGGAATTCAATAACGACCCACTTGCGTCGATTCGGCCTTCGAACCTGAAGGTGCCACTGTCGGGTGTCGATTTTTCCTGCAGCTTTGTTGGTCCGTTTGCGTCCGTTTCTTCGCTTCTTGTCCGGCTCCTGACCATTTTGCCTCCAGAGGTCCTAGGTGGGATGTTGTTGCCTCGCAAGGACGTTTTTGTTTTTCTTCTTTCTCTTCTTTTATATTAAAAAATCAAAAAAACTCCGGTACCCCTCTCAACTTTGGGTTTGCGGCCGGGGGGTCGAACCGTGCCTTTCGACGCATGGGGAAGGTTGTTTCAATACGGCACCAGGCATGCGGGCACCTGCTTGACAAAAGGGGGCTCCAAATGCAAGAAGCTTTCTCAAGAAAAGCACTCCCATGCAAAGAAAACGGGCACTCAATACAAGAAAGTTAGGTTTCACACAAACAAATAACAGAAGGTCTCCCCATAAATCTTCGCCCAATTGATTTTCGTGTTGTTTTTCATTGGGCCCCTCAGATTGTTGAAGGTAAAGGGTCGTGAGTTGTTTTGGGGCCTGGGGGGCTTTGTGAATCAGTCACCCAGATCAAGATGAATACTGGTGAGCATCTCATTCGCAGAAAATCACGGGCGGACACCTCCAAAATTCCTCATGCGAAAAACGCTCTACGGTGTTGATTTCGCACATATTGCAGGTGAGCAAGGGAACTCCTCGTCTTCATGGTTGGTTGGTTTACTTGCATGGTTTGGACCGCGCCAACAGTCCCCTTTGCTCAAAGGTCATCCGAAGAGCATGCCCTGCGAGCGCCCGGGAGCAGCAGTACTCTTCTTTTTTCATGGCACCTGACATACCCCCCAAATCAAATTGTGAACTTCCAGATGCCTCCAGGTGTCAAGAGAAGTGGGAGGAAGGCAAACGGGCAAATTTTGTTCTGCCTGTCGGCGGGGTGGGCAACTGAACTTTTTTTTCTCTTAGGGGGGATGCAACTGGCTTGGCTTGGGGCAAATGACGCGTCGGGTTCCCTCCCCGCCTTTCAGGAGGCCAAGGGCTTGGAGGACCGGAACTTCCGCTGCTTCCCGCTGCACTCCATGGTGCCGCGGGAAGAGCAGGACGTCGCTTCGTCACGGGTGGGACCTACGGGGACGAGCGGGCCGGGGTCACGGCGAGAAGGTCCCCCCTCGTGTTGTTGCTGTTGGGTGTTTATTGTGAGGGGTAGAGTAAAAAAGCAACAAACGACCGGGGGAAAGCAGACAAATCAAGAAACGCACTGTGAACGCCTTCGTCTTTGTTTGTGGGGTTTTTGTACGGAGGGGAAAACGCCAGCAAACCAAAGACACACTTTGGAGAAGCCAACGGATGGCTTTAAGAGTTGGATCCACCGAACTCCAGTGGCCAGAAGTCGTTGCTCAATTCTGGTGGTTCGAACAAAGGAGACCTAGCAAAGATGACTCAACTGGGGGGGGAGTTGCCCAAAAACTACTTCACCCGACTGTACCCAAAGAAGCCGAAGAGGAACATGTTCTCCCAAAAAGGGGGCCTGGCCCCAACGAATCAAAGAGCAGGGGTCGACAATTCTGGTCCAACTGGAGGCCAGCAGGTCCGAATCCATTTTGGTTTCCTTTTTTGGGAACCTCCCAAAGTTGCCCGTTTTAAGGGAAAGCCCTTCCAGTAAATTGATGCACTTCTGATTTGGTTGGAAATCCAGTGACCACTGTTTTGGTTTTTGTTTCCTTTGATTTGGTTGCAAATCCAGTGACCCCTGTTCTTTTGTTTTTTTTTTTTCCTTTGACGTGGTCGTAAATCCAGTGACCCTTGGATGGCTTCGTGCTTGGACGCTTCGGGATTCTTTCGCTTCGCACTTCCAGGAGTTGGTGTTCCAGGAGCCGGAGCCTGGCACGACCAATGCCACTGGCTCAGCTTTTGCGTCGTTTTCCTTCAGAGGCCGATGGCTGGGTTCGGGAAAAGCGAACGACGAGAGAAGTTGCAAGCGGTGTGTTTGGGTCGGTGGTGGAAAAGAGATGGTGAGCCAAAGCGGTTTTAGCCAGTGTCGCTCATGTCTTTTTTTGGGAGACCAAAGAAGTTCCCTTGAACACAGCCAGTCAGGCGAGGCTCGTTTGTCTCTATATAAGTAGAGATAGGACACCGGGAATCAGTTGGCGTTGAGAAGAGGTACACTGCTGGGGACCCCCCCCCCCCCAGCCAGGTGTTCCTGAGTTGGGAGCCCGCTCGTTTTGGATGAGGAATCCCCGCTCCTTTCTTTTTGTTGGGGGGGGGGGGAAGCCCAGACTTAGGACGTATCTAGGTGTTGAGCTTCTTTCTGGCAGCCAGCCAAATTCCGGGCTGGGCTTTTCTATCCCAAAGATGGTGTGAGTGACCCAACTTCGGGCACGAAACTCCTTTCCAGGTCCCGTTGAAGTTGCGGGATTCTGTGTGCCCTGACCTGCCAGCTGCCCACAGTTGGTGAAGCTCCGATCTGTAGCAACCAAATTCTTCCCTCGGGAAGGGGACGACTACAGGGACCTATTTCGGTGGGTTGCCTTGCGATCGCAAGGGGCCTCCTGGCACCGAGGTCGTTCTTGCCACGGATATAGCGGAATCCTCCATCACACTTCCACATGCCCAGCACTGAGATGACTGCGACTTGAGAGTCGCGGTCAAAACCGAACGGACTCAAATAGGGTTTTGGAGCTCCGAAGTGGCTTTCTGCTTGGTTACCCGTTGAACCAACCTGAAAAGGGTGCTCTCAACCGAAATCAACACCCAAATGAAGCTTAGCGGGAGACTGGCCCAGTCCGTGTGGGTTTTCGGGTGGACTCCTTCGATACTCTCTGATAAGGATCAGCCACGTTGCACATCGCATTGGCGAGTGGCCGCCCAGTTGCAGTCTTTGTATTTGTTATATTGGAGTCTGATCAAGCTACAATCAGCTGGGGGTAAGACTAGCTGAAGATCCCTTCGGTGATTCCTTATTTCCGTTTTGTGAATTGTCGTAACTTGCCCATGGAATTCATGCTGTTCCTGCGGTTCGCGTTTACCTTGCGGTCAAGGCAGGCGTTTCTGGATATCCCGATTGGCTCACGGTGTCGGCATTGGGGGTATTGCAACTACCTGGGCATTGTTTCTGACATTGGCCAGTTTTGAAACGCTGTCAGGTGTATCCAGTTTGAGTGAATGCTGCAAATTGCAGTTGTTCTTTTTGATACATGGATGACATCGCCGAAGATGAAATCCAGCTTGGCAGGCTTAGGAGAGCAGCTGCTCAAGTTGACTCAATGAAGAAGGTACTGTGGATGGACAAAATCCATTCCGCACCACCTAAGAAACCCTGAAATGATACGATTCTGCTGCAAATACCAGCAAACAGTGGTTTCGCATGGTTTCAAAGCGGTGCAACTGTCCTCCCACGGGGGCCTTTGGTTTACCCACGCAGGGCTCTTTTTCTTGTGTCTCACATGCTGCAAGCTGCTTGGCTCGTTGCCTGAAGCTGACAAGCTGCTTTCGTCCACGCAGATGGGCGCAACAAATCCGGGTGTGAACTTCAATTGCATCCGGAATCCTTTTTGGGACATCACTCGGGTGGGGATTCATGTCCACCAACCACTTTTGAGGCGGTTCCATATTAAATTTTGTAGCCATCCCTTGAACGCCGAGCAACAAAAAAACAGCTTTCACCTATCACTGACGCTTTTCACCCCAAAACAGTGCTTCTCCCAAACCCTTCGATATACTTCGGCTGGAAGGGGAGTTTGTTCTCTAAGCCAAGGGATTCATAGTGACACACCGCACTGTTTGACCAGTCCGAGTTTCTCTTGGAATCACCAGAGCACAAGTGGAACATTGGTCCGGTGTTCTTTCGTCTCCCAGGGACCAAACTTCAGGCAACCCCTAGCTGGTGCTTTGGATTGGTGGTTGGATTTGAATCAAATTTGAATCATTTGAATCTTTGTTTCTTGCAGAAGGTAAACGAGTAAATGGGAATCCCCGACACACCAAGTGGACCGCATGATGCCACTGGGCCCATTATTTTATTGTAATCAAAGTCAGCCACTAAGTGGTAGGTTAAACGGAAAGAAACGCATCTTCTGACTTTGATAACCCCCAGAAACACTAAACACAAAACGCTACTGCCAGCTCGGCTTCACACCTTCCCGCCAGCCGCCAAGTCCCGCAAGACGAGTCTTGCCTTCGCGCCTGCATGGTCCGATGGCCTTGGCTGCTGTTAGCAGCCCTTCTGCTTCGCGGCCAAAAGCGAGGCACTGCCTTCGGGTGCGGATGAGAGACGCCGTGGTGTAGCTTCGGGGGTGCACGCGGCCGAAAGGAAGGACCGCCCCTTGGAAGTTGGGACTTTCTTCAATGATAACCAAGCATTTTGCTGGTGGGAAAGGTTGGGGAAGATTGCTGGTTGTAGGTTATCGTTCTGAAACAGGCACGCCCCTTGGTTGCTGCCCAGGAATCCATGCTGTTTCACCTAGATGGTTGTGGGAGAACTGCGGGTCGTAGATTGCCCCTTTCCCGTGATAACGCGGTAACGGGGGATGGGAGTCCCGGGTATTGCAGACAGGGGCCGCGTGGCACCTAGAACAATCAGAGCACATTTGAGCCTGCCACGGATGCCATCATGCTGTTCCCCTGGCCCTAAACAAAACCTGGGTAGATGAAGATGAATCCCAACCCAAAATGGGTGCAGCCGCCTTTTGGATTCTTTACATGGTTACGGGTCTAATTTCATAACAGGTTTTATGACTTAGCTGGCTTTCTCTTGAGGGGTTTTGGGTTCCCGTCAATTTGTTGGGTTTGGCTCAACGAAGAGCAAAAAGCCACACCCCATTGTTCATACCCCCTCGGTTCCTCGGTGAACAGTAAGCCTTGGCTCATTTGCCGGGGCATTTGTAAAGTGGGTAATGTTGACCCCATACTAATCACCCCCCAGTTTATTAATTCGGGGGTGTCCGACTGAGTTTAGTGGGGAATCAGACCACTTTTGGAGGGGCCAAGAACCACCCCCCGAGTTTAATAAGCTGGTTGGTTGATCAGTATGGATTGGGGGGGGCCTCTAGAAGGCTGATTTGGATTGCGGGTGTCCGATTCCTAGTGAGACTCCTTCACTTGAGCTAGCTGATAAATCTGGGGTCGACCTTCTCCCAGGCATCCAGTGACCATGTTCCCCTTGGAGGCTTCCTTCTTTAAAGTGAGCTGCCCAAAAAAGAGTCTCAGGTTCTCCCTTTTTCCCCATGGCGACTCTGGGAACTGGAAATCAGCTAGCTCACAAAAGTGAAGGAAGCCTTCCAGAGGCCCCCGCCAATCCCTATAAGGGGCCGACTAGTGAGTCTATTGGGTCCATTGTGGGCCCCTTGCTGGGAGATTCCACTGGGCCGCCGCACAACCAGACTGTGGAGGGACGAGTGCATTTCGCAACCTGGTTTCTGATGGTTCCCCAACGCAAATACTGCAGCAAACGTTGTGGCTTCAACCATGGCTTCATTTTGTGGTGCAGGATTTCACCAATCCAAAGTATAGGTTTCTTTGTGGCCTTCCTTATGGCTTAGCAAGGTCGACCAAAGCACACATGGCTTCATTTTCCGTGGCGCGATTTCTAGATGTCCTGTCCATCCACGGTAGGGCAACCACTTCTGTTTTTGTTTTGCTTCGGGTTTCCTCCCTCGGCTTCTTTTCATTAGTTTCTCCGTGCTGAAACAGCGGACCTGTGTGATCGCGATTGCCCGCACGGATCAAAAAGAACACAAATCCACTGGTTGGACCACCAGAACCCGCGCGCGATCGCGCGCGATCGATCGCGTTCCAGGCTTCGCAGTTCCGCGGAGCATCCTGCAGCAGCTGGCGCCGTTGCGCCAGGAGGATGGCGAGAGCCTGGAGGAGGGGCCACTGCCCATGGGAAGCCACTGAGCCCGCCCAAAGGAGGCTGCGTTGGGCATTTTTGTTGGACGGGGCGCGTTTTTTTTTTTTTTTTTTTTTGGACCTCCTCAGAAAAGGAAAATGGCCCCAGGGGATCGGGACCTGTTTTTTTTTTTTTTTCTACTTGGGGGGTGAGTTTAGCGCGCCTAGTAACTTTGGGTTTTAGGGATTCGTCTTTTGTTTTTGTTTGTCTTGAGACAATTGCCCCACAATTTCCGGGGGGAATGGGGGCGGTTCCTGAACAGAATGGGTGACAAAACCCTAAGTAGTCAGCTTCCATAAGGAGAGGGTGGTTTGGATTGCTGGTTTGGAGGTGTTCCGGAGAGGAACCCCCACATTAATTCCAGCAAGAACCATTGGTTCAATCCCCCAAACCACCACTTCACACCGCCAAATAAGGGTTACCCGATGCTTCAGCATGGTTACAACCTACTTACCAAGTTTGAGGTCCGCTTCAATTGGACAGAGGGTAGATGCTTGCGACCCCGCCGATCCGGATTCCCTCTAAATGGGACAACTTGATAGAAATTTGCCAGGGGTGTATTGATCAACTGGGTTCCCACCACTTCCCGGACTATTCACTGCTCACCCTGGATCGCCGTGACTGGCAACAACTGCCGCCTTTCGAAAGTGTTCTTTCTTTTTGCATCTTCGGGCACGGGTTGCCCGAAAAGGGGGATCATCTCCGGCAACCCCCGAATTGCTGGTTGTAGAGGGTAGATGGGAAACCACCCCCTAACCCGCAAACCACCAATCCAAATCACCAACTACCCTCCCCCCAGGCTAACATGGAAGCTCCCCGAACCCGCTGGGAAGACTTGGTTCCATTTATGGCCTTCTGGGAGCTTCCGGCTGTTCTGAGTAGGTAAGGGGAAGAAGCCCTTGGGGGCAACCTCAGCCGTGTGAGCATGTGACAGCCAGCAAATAAGCCGTTCAAGCCATGGTTTTAAGCCTTCAGCCCATGTCTTTGTACGCCTGCGCCAGTTTCTCCTACTTTTAGATCATCCAATCCAGGCAGCTCCCAGAATTCGCTGGGAAGACTTGGTTCTGGGAGCTTCCGGCTGTTCTGAGTGAATGTATGTGGTTTGGGGATTTGAACCCCTGGTTGTAGGGGGTGAATGGGACAGCCTTCCTTGACCACCAAACGGCAGCTTCCCTCTTGGTGGTTTGGATTGGTTTGAGGATTTGAGCCCCTAGGGGGAAGTCGATCCCCTCAAGCCATGTCTTAAGCCTTCAGCCATCTGTTCTGAGTGACAGGTTCCGTGATCCCAGGGAGCTGCCTCGGGTTCCGTCCGTTCGTTGAGGACCCCGCGGCGCAAGACCTCGAGGTCTTGCGCCGCGAGGCGCAGGAATCTCACAGGCGGGCGAGTTTCGTGTTTCGGGACGGACGGGTCAAGCAACGTGCGCCCCTGGGGGTTCCCGGATCAACCAAGCAGCCCATCCATTTGCTTAAGTGTTTTTCACTTTTCTTTTTCTCGCTGTTGGTTTTTAGAGGGAATCGATTGCACTACTGGACCTATTTTTGTTGTTTTCCAGGGGGCTTAAGCAAACGGAAGAACCAACAAACCAACCAACCAACCAACCAACCAAGCAAGCAAGCAAGCAAGCAAGCAAGCAAGCAAGCAAGCAAGCAAGCAAGCAAGCAAGCAAGCAAGCAAGCAACCAAGCAAGCAACCAAGCAACCAAGCAACCAAGCAAGCAAAAGCAAGCAAGCAAGCAAGCAAGCAAGCAAGCAAGCAAGCAAGCAAGCAAGCAAGCAAGCAAGCAAGCAAGCAAGCAAGCAAGCAAGCAAGCAAGCAAGCAAGCAAGCAAGCAAGCAAGCAAGCAAGCAAGCAAGCAAGCAAGCAAGCAAGCAAGCAAGCAGCAAGCAAGCAAGCAAGCAAGCAAGCAAGCAAGCAAGCAAGCAAGCAAGCAAGCAACCAACCAACCAACCAACCAACCAACCAACCAACCAACCAACCAACCAACCAACCAACCAACCAACCAACCAACCAACCAACCAACCAACCAACCAACCAACCAACCAACCAACCAAACCAACCAACCAACCAACCAACCAACCAACCAACCAACCAACCAACCAACCAACCAACCAACCAACCAACCAACCAACCAACCAACCAACCAAACCCAACCAACCAAACCAACCAACCAACCAACCAACCAACCAACCAACCAACCAACCAACCAACCAACCAACCAACCAACCAACCAACCAACCAACCAACCAACCAACCAACCAACCAACCAACCAACCAACCAACCAACCAACCAACCAACCAACCAACCAACCAACCAACCAACCAACCAACCCAACAAGGGTTCCAATTCTTTCATTTGCTGAATGATACCTTTTTTGTGTCTTCCCCCTGTTGGCTTTAAAGTGAACCCATGACTACTGGACATATGTTTATTTTGTTTGCTCCAGGGGACTCAAGCAAAGGAGTTAAGGGAACCCCGGATCAATTAGCCCCTGGTTTAATAATAGGGGTGCCGCTTTGAGTCTAGCGGGGATTCAGACCACCTTTGGAGGGGGGAGTCAATCCTATGATCACGAGTTTAATTCGGGGTCAGCAATAACGAGGATCATGGGTTCTTGTTGGTTTGCGCTCTTTTGTGTTATGGTTCGCCCTTCCGTTTTTACAGTTTTCGTGAAAACTAGATTGCTAGCTGGAGTTAAGACATGGGGCCAGCGATTCCCACATTGCTGTGATGTATCGATGTTCGCGCGCAAACTGCCACCCAAGAAGTTGCTTTGGAACATGTCTATTTCTGTACGGGACACCTCCAAATCGCTCCCTCCTTCAGCTCAACCTCCCTGGACCGCTTGCAAGGCTCTTTGCTTTGCTCTTCTTTCCGCCCATAGGTGAGTGTGCTCTTGTGATGAAAGGGGGTCGCCATGGAACCAACCAACCAGCTAGCCAGCCAGCCAACCAACCAACCAACCAACCAACCAAGCAACCAACCAAACAAACAAACAAACAAACAATCCAACCAACAAACAAAACGAACAAACAGCCACATTCGCCCTGAATTTGTGGGGTTTGACATGGCCGTGGCTTTGCTCCTTGCTCCTTGCCGCAGGGGCGACCTGCGGCGCGGGGCGAGTGCTGGGCACCAGCCGCTCTTCATGACGCTCGGTGTGCAACTTTTGGACTCCCCAAGCCCAGAAATGGCGGTCCCTTTGAAACGGGGAATCAAACGTGAAGGAGCAATCAAACAATGGCAACCATGAGATTCCTCTGAAAAATAAGATAAACATTCCCAAAGAGTTGTTCTTGGTGCACCCTCCACCCCCACCCACCCATTTCCAGTGATCCTTGCCTCCAGAACGCCAGCAGCCCAGAAAACGGGTGTTTGTCCCACCGTGTTTGCCCCACCTGCCCTATTGGATTAGATCGCCCAACCCCAAAAGTCAGGTGTCACGCTTCAGGGTATTTCCTTCGGGGCTGGTTTCTTTCTGGGAAACCAAAAGGAAACCACCCAAAATCGGTGGTCCCTTTTATACATAAGGGGCGGCCTTTTTGTGGTGGACCCCCCCCAAATGTGTTGGCTGTCCTTTTGGTTTCCTTTCTGCTCACCCCAATGGGTATCTTCAAAAAAAGACACTGCCATACTGTAAACCAAATCAACCAACAAGGACACCTATGGCCCCAGCTTGGTGGCTCTAGGCAAACAGAAGGAGCTTGGGAATCTGACCCCGAAAAGTGAACTTGTTGGTCAAATGGCACATATACCAAAAGAGTACTAAAAGAATACAACAGAACCTGCAGGGCGAAGAACAGGTGAAATCCGCAACAAGCGCATCCCAACCGTTTTCTAGATTGGTTGTTGGTAAACGGAAAAGCAACTGGAGTTCAAATCCGAAAATCAATCCAAACCACACATGAATTGGGGGTACCTGAAAAATTGTGGTTTTTCTGTTACCACAATGCGGGAACCCTATAAAAACCAAAAGGAAACCGATCCCCTGAAGGGGATTAGCCCCAAAAGTTCTGTCAAACATTCATGCGTGGCTCGTCTTTTTTAAGATGATGCAACGGTCTTCTTTTTGGTTTCCATTCCCACCAAAAGAAATCGGGTACCGAGGAAAACACATACCCATGTGATAATCATGGTTGAAGCCATTGTTTGTTGGTGTTTCCGTTAGGGGAATCGAATCAGAAACCAGGGTTCCTGCACGGTGGTGCAAAGCGGATTTCGAAACCACGACTACCAGGGAAGCCCCCCCCCAGCCCCTTCCATTTTAACCCCCCTCAACCAGTGGCCCTTGGGTTCCCCAAAAAATAATTTCCCTCGCCGCAGCTCGCTCCGCGCGGCGCGCGCCGCGCGCCGCGGGGGCGGTACTGTAGGATGCTGATCTTGGGCCACCTGCGGCAAGTGAGCCTCGGGCCCGGCATCAACGGCACCTTTGTGGACTGCGCCTCGGATGGCCGTCGGACTGCCGTGGGAATTTAGAGGAAGCCAAGCGGTTTTGGGGGGGGGGGGCTTTGGGTGGTTTTTGCCGCGGTGTTGGTGGTTTTTGCCGCGGTGTTGGTGGTTTTTGCCGCGGTGTTGGCGGTTTTTGCCGCGGTTTCCGTGGTTTGGGTGCGAGTTGGCTTTTAAGCTACAAGGTTAGAAGTGACACATGCCATTTTCGCCCGTTTTGTTTTGGTTTCAAATTAAAGCTGTTCAGGAAAGACGTGTTTGGTTGGCTTTAAATTAAAGCTTCAAAAGGACACCTGCCATCCCGTGTTTGAGACAACCTCCTTTGGCTTGAAGCCAAACACGAAGCCAAAGGAATTTGTTTTTCTGCAGGCCAAGTTTTGCCTTTTGGTGAAGCCCAGAGAGGTTCCAAACAGAACGAAGGAAGGAGGGCGGAGGGGTGGTTTGGGACCTGTGAACCTTGAACCAAACCTTTGGGTTGGTTTGGGTTGGTTTTCCAAATGGCCGGAAAGGGAGCCGCGGTGTCCAAAAGGCGTTTTTGGTCTTCTTCTTTTTTCTCCCCCTTTTTTTGGTTTTCTCCTTTTTGGTTTCCTTGTTTGTTTTTTTTCCCCTATGTTTTTTCTTGTGTTTTTCCTCTTATTTGTTTTTTCCGCGCCCGAATCTAGCTAGGTTTTTTCTGCTTGAAACCCGAAGAAGACACGAGCATGTCTTCAAGTACAGTGGCTGGGCAAAATCCGCTTCGCACTAGGAAGGCTAGCTGAAACTCTATAAATGGGAGAACCTACCGCTCAACGGGTGCAAAGTGTTTTCCATCCACAGCTTGCCCGGAATGAAACACAAGGATTTTGTTCCCCCCCTTCAGATAAAACAAAGGTCACCGGGGTTGGCGAACGACCACAAAAAGAAGGGGTTCCTCTGTTTTCGTGTCTTCGGAAGCTGAGAACGGCCTGGTGGGTCTTCTTTGTCAGGACCAGTACACCCATTTGGGGCTGAAAGGAACGCCACCAAGGAGATCACCTGTTTTCGGGGCCTCGTAGCTGAGACGTACCCGCAGTTTATTGGGCTTTTTGAAGAAGCCTAAATGGGTATGTGTCAAAATAGGTGGACGCCCGTGTGGGTGGCTTCCATTTGGCTTCCCTCTGAAACCACCCCACAAAGGGTCCCCCCAAAATAGAACCCACGCACACAAAACCGGGTGGGATTTGGTTTGCAAGAATCGTTTTGTATCAAAATGCGATTTGGAACCCGCACAAGGGGGGCTTTCACTTTCGAAAAAAAGAAGAAGAGAAAAAACAACAAAGGGCGCTCACAAAAAAGAGACAGCCCAACGTGGTGTGCTCTACTGGCTTTTTTTAAAGGGATGAAAGGGGTGTGCTGTCTCAACCAATTGGAATTGATCCCCCGAAGACAATGGGCGGTTTCCTGTTGGTCCTCCAGAGCGAGTTCTTCTCCAACTCCAGGATACTCCCAAATCACTTTCAAAGTTTTTGGATGTGACAATTACTCCACTTTCAGGATAACCCACAGGCTCGTTTTGGAGATTATATGCGATGTTCTCTTGATCGTATGGGTATGTGTCGTAAAGTCAAGTCTTAAAGTGGAACACCCCCAGCCGGGTTGTGGGATCAAGGGGTTTATCCCCACTTCTGTCATACAAGAGAATCTCGCCCTTTGGGGTGGGGTTAGTCTTTGGGAACCCCTTTTGGTTTGTATCACAGTTGTCATTTGGTCGAACACCGCGAAACGGGCATTTAGAAACCAGGCGTCAGCTCCCCAGAACGCACCTCTCTCAAAAAGAATACGATCCTTTCGCCCCTTTCGAACATGTGGGCGTTTCAACTCATCCCTCAGACAACAAGCGAGGACTAGGCCCCCCAGTAGTGCCCTTTTAACCTTTTTTGGGGGAGGGTTCTCCTACTAAAATAGACTACAGGAAAAAGTTGGTACCCTTATTCTAACCTCTCTACCGGAGGACTTACTGCGGATGGACAAAATCCTGCACCACTTGGAAACCATGGAAAACCATTCCTTGTTGGTATTTACAGGGGAATCATCCTTCCAGGGTCTCTGAGGCGGTGCGAAATGGATTTCGTCCATCCACAGTAGTTTGGGAATCACAGGTTCTTATCCACAAACTGACATCTTCGGGCGCCCTGAGGCACCTTCGGCCGGGGCGGGCACTCTCGCAGCCTGCTGCGCCAGATCTCGCGCAGCTCCACGCTCTATGCCATGGATGTGGACCAACAGGCGTGCGAAAGCGAGGTTTAGCGATGAACGCGAGCTGTAAACTTGACTTGGGTTGGATCTTTAGACTTTATTTTTTTGGAATCAAGAGGTTTTCCACTGAACCCAGAACAAGTTAAACTTTTTGCAGAGGCGTCAACAGCAACCAAGCAAAGCACAGTGCAACCAAAAGCGGAGCGCCTATCTATCACTTTAAATTGGTTCTACCTGGAACAAATGTGGGAAGGACGGCCTTTCAAAGACCTTTGTATCCATGTTGGTAGAACCAAATGTCGTATCATACTTTCCCAACATACTTCCCTTACTTTCTATATCGTATCACACCCACCACACGTTGTCTCAGGGCTTATCGGGATGATTTGCAAGCACATGTATGGCCAAGTAGTTTGAACCCCCGTAGGTGATTTCGGACTGATCAAGTGGTTCACAACCCTTATGCGGGTTTACAGGGCGTCCACTAGAGAGACTGATTTTACGTTTTCAGACGCGAGGGATGGTTTCGCTTCTGGCCACTTGAGTTGGTGGTTCGGTTCCTACCTGATTTCAGAGGGGTATAGTAAAACCTATGTACAGCCTTCTGTCCAAATCGGTAGACCCACATGCATTGTGTCAACAGAAGCTTGCTGCACCGTTGAGAAACCCTGGAATCTGGAATGATGTGAATGCCCTGTTACCAGAAGTCACAGGTTCGAAAGGTTTCCACCATGGTTCGAAGAAGTGGGCAGCTTCACCGCCTGGATTTCGCGAGGCCATCCGCACACCGAATCAAGCGACCCACACCAAAAGCCTTGGCCATGGCCATGACGCTTGCACTCGCGCGCCACGCTTGCACCCGCGCGCGCGATCACCGCGCGGCGAGTGGCCCTTTGAGGCGGTGGATGTGGCCCTGGAGATGGCCAGGAAGGACCAGCGGCTCAAGGTCTTCAAGAGCTCCTACGCGCGGCTGGCCGAGAAGGTGAAGGAAGAGGCCGGGGGAAGTTCGCTGGGGAGGCGGGGAGGTTCGGAGGTTGCGCCTCTCTGGGGTCAGACCTTCCAACCGTTGCTATGTAGGGGGATTGCAAAAAAGAACCAAGGGGTTTTGTGCAGCCTACTAGAATGAACAGAACCAAAGCCTAAAAACCTCAAATGCGAAAAAAGGGAGGCATTTTTTGGTTTTCTGTGGAGCCTAGTAAAAGGCCCGCTTGTTTGCTTTGGTTTTTGGCAGGGTTGCTCTTTTGGCCGTTTCCCAAAGAGCAGCGAGCCCCAAGGGTAGTTTTTTTGTCGTGCTTTTGTTTTGTTTTCGCTCTCAGATTTCAACCCTTTCAATGGGTGTTGAAATAGACACAACATCCACCCTAAAGGCAGGATTGACTCCCCAGTCTTCTGGGGAGTCTAAAGTGAAGGCTAGAAAGGGGCAAGCGGGATGACAACCCTCCAGCGCAAACATCTGGGTGAACTTTTTTTGGAGCCACCCACCGAAGCCAGGAGCCCCCATCATTCTGGGTGAGCTTGTTTTACCCTTGGAGTGAGCGATCTGCATAATTGGCCCTATGTCAGGCCGCTGTCCCCGAAGCGAAGTTGCGCAGAATGCTACTGTGCCACCCTGAGTGTAACCCTTTTAAGGGCTCGAATCTGGATGGACAAACTGCACCAGTTGGTATGTGGTTTGTCCATGTCCATCCCAATATTGGGCTTCTAGCCATCCTAACTTGTGCGGATGGCGGATTCTTGAAACCCATCCCAGGAGAGCTGCCAAAACGCTGAGCTGCAAAGAGTTGGAGCGCAGGTTGCGTCTGGTTTCCCTTAGAAGAGGTGCAGGCGGTGCTCATCAACAGCGGCTTCACCACCGAGGACAAGCGGAACATCAGCCGGGGCATGCGCAAGGGTCCGCTGGACCTGCGATTTGACACCCAGGCGCTCGGAAGACCCGGCGGAGTACAACCGTCACCCAACACTCGACTGGGACGCGTGGGGGCGTGGGACGTGTCCTGTTTTTTTGGAGTTGGTGGCGCCTTTTCGGGGTGGTTGTAAAGGACACCAAAAAGGAACACCAACCATTTTTTGGGGGTTCAGTACCGAGTTCCACACCCAGTATGTGTCAAAGGGAGCACGGAGTTTGGGTGGTTTCCTTTTTGGTTTCCCAGCAAGACAAGAGCCCAAAAGGACATACCCTGAAGCATGACTTTTTTCCCCAGTATTTTTTTACAATCTAATCCAAAAGGGCAGGTGGGCCGACACAGTGACAGTTGATTCCCCCTTTTCTGGGCCGCTGATGTTCTGGAGGCAAGGATCGCTGGTCCTTGGGTGGGGGGGGGTGCACCAAGAAGGACTCTTTGGGAATGTTTTCTTTTTTTTCTTCTTTTTTTTGTTAAAGAGGAATCTCATGTTCTTTTTTTGCCTGAGGAATCTCATGGCTGCCATTTACTTGATTGCTCCTTCGCGTACCTCCTGCGCTTTCCTGGGGGGCCAAGTTTCCATGCGCCGTAGCACCTGAAAGCTTTCGGCCCTGGAGCGAGATGAGCTTCTCCGGACTGCCGTTGTTTCAGTTTACAGGGAAGCCCAAAGGACCCAAAAAGGGCGCCCTCTCACACAAACAAATTCCCCTTTCAGCCAACCCCCCCCCAAAAAATAAACAAACACCAACAACAAGAAACAAAACAAAACACATGGTTTTCCTCGTCCTTTAGCACATTCCCCTTTTTGGCCTATCGCCATGTGGGTGTGGGTCAAAATTCAACCACCAGGGGACCGCAGGTTTTGGTCCATGTTGCCAGTTACCAGGGTTCCATTTTGGGTACCTATGTTTGACCCACAGCCATGTTAAAAAAATCTAAGAACTGAACACCATACCTTTGGAGCATACCCCAACCCGTTTTGGCACTGTTTTCAAGGTTTTAGCCTACTCAAATTTGCATTATGCAGGTTCTTGTCATGTTGAGAAAACTCTCCAACGCTGTTTTCAAGCGGCTGCGCGCGCTCCATGCTTGTGAAACACTGCTTCTACTTGCCTGTCCGCCGCCTCTTAGCAGTAGTCGCCGTTGCGTCGGCAGTAGACGGCCAATAAGGCACATGGCGAATCTCGATGCTACCTGAGGTAGCAGTCAGGAAATGGAATTGTTAGTGAATCTCGTTTTTCAATGGGCCCAAAAGAGCGTAACCGCCACAAAACCATGCTATTCCCAGGCGTGCGTCTCGTGTCCAGGAGAACTGGCTTCGGTCTGGAACTAGCAGGCTTTGGCTCAGGCTCGGTGGCTTGTTTCCCACGGGCTTTGGCCGCGGCCTTTACCTTCGGCTTGGCTGCAGCCTTGTCGGTCGCGTTGGCGACCTTCTTGGCAGGAGTCTTAGCGCTGGTCGGCTTGCCAGCACTGTCGCTGTCAGAAGAGCTGGAGCTAGAAGAGCTGACCGGAGCGGCTTCGGCTGCGGCGTCTTCCTCGTCAGCGTTTTCTTTTGCGACAGCGATGCCCTTGGGGATGACGTCAGGCTCCCGTTCGTCAATGGCAGCGTTTGGGTCCGATGCTTCCTCCAGGGCAGCTTCGATGGCTGCAGTAGCTGGCTTTTGAGAGACGTCCTTGGTTGTGGCTGGGGTTGGGCAGCCAATCCATGCAACAACGCTCAGGGTAGTAGCGTCAAGCCGTCAACTTAGTATTATGTAACCAAATCTGACGCGATTACGTTGGCTTTGCCCAACTGCCGTGAAACTAAACAAACACAACGTTTAAACGCGCTTATTAAGTTGGCAGTCCAGTATCGCCTCCACACTTCGCGTGTGTGGCCCACAGCCACTTCACGATTTGAACCAGAGCTTGAAGCTTCGAGCGCTTCTGAAGGTAGCTGCGTGAGCGCGACCAGTGCGATTGCAATCTCTTTGGCTTCGACTTCTTCTTTGGGCTTGGTGCAGGGGTGCTTGCGCTCTTGGGGATGGGGTAGTACCCTTGAAACGAGGTCATGGAGTATTGCCATACCAAAATCGAGCCTGGGGGTCGTAGACGCCGGATCGCGCTAGGCGTGAAGTGCTCGGCCTTGGCGCGCGAAACCCCCACGCGTGATTTGATGAACTCCTGGCGAAGTTCCAGATCTACAGCCTCCCTGAGATTCTCGAACTCCTTCCCATCCTCCTCGTGCTGGAGCTTGTTGAGCACTTCGCCGAGATAGGACGGGGCGTGAGCCTCCTGTATGTTCGCTGAGCTCAGCAGCTTTTGCAGAAGCTGTTCCTGCTCAGCTTCGGAGAGGTCCGTGAGGTATGCTGCAATCAGCGCAAACCTGCCAGAAAAGGGTGCGTGCAAGAGTGATTGGGGACTTGGTCCCAACTACGGCGGTCTAGTAGTTCCCTATAAAAACCAATGGACCACTAGCCCTTGCCAGAAATGCGTACAAGCAGCAGCTGTGATTTGAAGCCCGCCGTTTTCTCGCCGTGTCTGACAGGCTTAATCTGGGAAGCCTGCAGCACTTTCTTGACCAGGTCCTTGTAGCCGGACACTTCTGCCAAGGAGACGTGTTGCAGCCAGAACTTCACAAGGGAAACGTCAGGGCCAGTCCTGCGAAGGAGGACGCCGCGCCCTTGCAAGGAGGCAGGCAAGGAGGATGGGATGCCTTGGATCAGGTGTGGCATCATTCACCGCCCGCGTTTAAATGGAACACATGCAGTGCGTGGGATCACACCACAATGACGACCCGGGCAGCTGAGATGTGCACAAATGACTCAGTGGGGAACACTTGAGCGATATTACGGGCGAGCGAATGCGCGTGCGGGCTTGCTGGCGCGTGGGCACGCGGGCCCCCGCGCTTGTCGGCGTAAGCGCGCGTGCGTGTGCTGGCGCGTGCGTGAGTTGGTGAATGAGTGAATGAGCGAAGAGTACGTGAGTGAATAGTGCGAGTGATTGCGTTGAATGAGTGGGTGTGTCCTGCGCTGAGTGGGCGAGTGAGTGAGTGAGTTGTGAAGCGGATGAACAATGCGCGATGCAATGCATCAATAATAAGCGCGTATGTGAGTGAATCAAAGCCTCAGCGAGCAATGGCGAAGGTGAACAGGTGTCTGGTACGTCTGGGGCGCAGTGACTGCCTCACTGCTTTCGTGGCTGGCCGCATGAAATGCAAACACTGACATCGCGTGTGCCCAAATTCAGACGCTGGTGCGTGCGTGCGTGCGTGCGTGCGTGCCTGCGCTGTGTGTGTGTGGGTGGGTGGGCGGGTGCGGGCGCATGCGTGCGCAATTGCGTGTGTGTGTGTGTGCGCGCAGTGCTTGTTTGATTGTTTGTTTGTTTGTTTGTTTGTTTGCTTGTTGCATGGTTAATTAATCCCTTCGCCCCAATAATAAAAGGCCCTCGCCCTAGTAAGGGAAACCCCGTCCAGAAAAACCCATGGGTCGCATCTGGAATGGTTTCTTCGGTGCCCCCTTTCCGGAGCAAAACGTCTAAAAAGGGTCGAAACGGCCGGCCCTTTCCGAAAAAGGAAATCCAAGAAAAGGGATGCCTTTGGTTTTTACTGTGTTGGGCTTCCGGGCCGCTAGCGAAACTCACTGATTTAGTATTAGTATTGGCTTAAAGCAGTGTTAGCCTAATCTAAGCTTAGTATTGGCAGGTTTGGGATTTCGAAAAACGTGTTGGATTATTACTGGGACCGTTATTAATAGGGAGAAGGGGTTATTTGGTTCATGTGTTAGTTTGTTTATTTGTTTGTGCGGTTGATTGTATGTATGTATGTATGATTGTTTGTTGTGCTTTGTTTGTTTGTGGGTGTGTTGCTGTGTGTGTGTGTGTGCGTGTGTGTGTGTGTGTGTGTGTGTGTGTGTGTGTGTGTGTGTGTGTGTGTGTGTGTGTGTGTGTGTGTGTGTGTGTGTGTTTGTCTGTCTGTGTGTGCCTGTGTCATGTTTGTGGGTGTGTCTGCCTTTGTGCGCGCGCATGCGTGCGTGCGAACGCGGGGCTAGCGCGGGGCGTGCGTGTGGGTCGACGCAAAACACGCGTGCGTGCGCGGGGGCGTGGGCGCGTTCGTTAGGGCTAGCAGGAGGCAGGCGGACGTGCGCGCGTGCGTGTGTGCGACCGCGCGGATGGGGGCGAGGCTGCGAGGCTGTGTGTGTGTGTGTGTGTGTTTAAAGGGTTTGCGCATGTCGTGTTATGTTCGTTTTCGTTGCGCTGTAACTCAGAACGTGTTACATTCAGCAGAGTCTGTTTTGCCGGGGCGCACACTTCCGTCGGTACGCCAGAGTAGTCCTCGTCATACCCGTCAGAGCGAGGAACCCAAAGATTGACAGTGGTGAAGAACTGCAGGTTTGCTGTTGATCTGGAGGTGGCATCGGCGAGCTGGAAATACGCAGCGTGGTTGAGCGGCTCGACTTGCCAACTCAAGCCAGCAAACCCAGAGCAGCCCAAGCTCAACACATAGGTGTCCGAGGTGCGTTCGTGATACAGCAGCCCGTGCACGAGAAGCTGGCTAACCCACAAACTGGACACCTGCCGAAAATTGTCGGCTGCAGCAGCGTGTAGGGCCGCCAAGTTGCCAGCCATGCGGAAGTCGGATTCGGAAGAAGCTGGCTTGACGTGCGTTTCCAAATCTGGAAGTCCATCCTCGCATTTCGTGCCCCAGGCGGATGGCTTCCACTGAAGTCCTCGCGACAATGGCTGAACACGTTCGTACTTGCAAACTGCAAACATTTAGTTCACTTCGCCTTGGTCAACGCGGAATAACTCAGTGACTGTGACAGTGGCTGATCGGAGGCAAAGAACAAGTCGCAAGCAAAAGGGAACATGGCTATGATAATCCAGAGTTGGTGAATTGATGAGCTGATTGTGGGAACACGGCAAGCCTGTAACAAGTTGCGGCATTCAGTCCTTTTCGCCTGGAGACGGTCGCCTTTTTGAAAGTATCCAGAACGTCGCTCTGCGGGGCAAATGTGCCAACAAAGCACTTTCTGACAGGCA